AACTTTTTTGCTGCCCAAACTCTCCTACACCGAACCAAGACCTACTGTAGGCTAGGATCTCTAACATTAACAGCTGTCTCTTATACACATCTAGATGTGTATAAGAGACAGGTACTAGGCCTTGGCCTATACAAACAACGAACCTAAGCCAAATCTGGAAACCTCCGAGCACAGACGTTTTAACGCCATTTTGATTTTGAGCCCGATAAGATCTTTGACCCATGACATGACATGACATTTTGGGGCTTCCTTCTGTAAATTTTCTTGAAAACGCGCGAAAGCTTGAGCTTTAAATTGGATCCTGGTGTTGCAGCAGTTTGTATTTCGACGTTTAACACTCAAAATGATGGCAGGTCATAATTCTGAGCATATAGAAGTAATTACTAAGAAACTTAAGGTTGATAAAGACAGCTTAATTGAAACTAAATGTGTTAATCATCAAGAAGAAAGCGAATTCCAGTTCAGTAAGCACACGACGTTGGACGATATGTAAGTAAGCCATGGCCCTCAGGTGGGTTCAGGCCTACGCCTAGTAGTAGCAGTAAGCCCTACTAGGCCTAGGCTGTACTATTTCCAGTCCTCTAGCGGCGGCGCACAGTGGGTCAAGGCGAAATCAAAGTGTGCCAAAAGTTTTGGTGACTAGGCCCTGTCTCTTATACACATCTAGATGTGTATAAGAGACAGGTACCTACATAGGGATCATCTCAGAAGCTTAGTTTAGCTTTTTTTTAATGTATCTCCAGTTACTTGTACAATATTGATAATTCATGTTAATAAATTTTTGTGTAACAAATTTCTTTTTTCTAAAAATGCCTCCAGGGGAATGATTCTCAGGGCCTCCGACCATCGGTTGCGTGGTCACACACTTTTTCCAGCTCTGAGCATATGGAGTGGATTTGGTTTTAACCATGAGAACAGGTTTGAAACCCTGGAACTTGGCATTGGAATGAAATGTAAGCATATTAACCACTTGGATACAGCTAAGTAAACAAACATTTGTTATAATTATCATTATATTTTTCAGTTTACTATATATTTATTCATACTGTGCAAAAGCTAGGACATACTGTATATTCTCACGTGTAAGACAATCCACTTACAAGAAGAACCCCAAGTTTGAGAAGATATTTGGATGATTTTTGTATGTCGAGCAAATAAGATAAGCCCTGTTTCACCTTCACAAATCACTTTTTGCTGCTTTTTATGGCCTTGTTATGACCTAAGTGGCTAAAAACGGAGCCAAAACATAGCACTAACCTTCCAAAATAATACCATTTTATGGGCTTTTAATTGCTCATCAAAAATTCATACTAAGTGTTAGTAGAGATGTGTATAAGAGACAGTATATAATATGAATAAAGTGACATAAGGAAAAGAAAGAAAAACATTTTCTTACTGGGCAAGACTTAAATTTCAGAAAAAAACAAGATATTATATATATTTCTTCCTTAACTATATAAATTTAAAGCATTTCTTGTTTATGATTTATGCTAAATACTTCAATGAATGTGGATACTTGATTTACATATTTAAACCCATCACCTGGTTTAATTCTAACTTGTCTGACATGCCTTTTGTTAGTACACTAGTAATTAGCACATTGGCAGTTAATTATACCAAGTATCTTGGAGTGATAAAACAAGAATAAACGTATCTTGACAAGAACACCCATTTTAAATAATTATAATGCTTTATCTGAACCAATAAAAAATGGCATATAATCAATCACATCTTTAAAATGGTTTCTAAAGTATATAAGTAAGTTAATAAAGAATAAACTTCTAGTTTTAGTACATTATCGGAATACAGTACATTTCAGATACACTAAAACCTCCCTCTTAAGTTGCTCCACTGCAGTGTGTACACATTAGCGCCACAATCATCATCATTTCAGCCATTGTCAGCTCCCAATACAGGGCGAAGGCCTCCCCCCACCCCCAAGCTAAAACATCTTTTTGTCCTGTGCAATTCTTATCCACGACATGCTGACATATAATCTTATTTCTCCATCTAGTTTTGGGTCTTCCCCGACCTCGAGTACGATTTCAAGTCTCTGAAATAATTTTCAGTGGAAGTAGACTCAGAATATGGAATTGAAAAAAAGCGGTGATATTCTTTTTTTAATGCTGCCTGAAATGAATGGACCTTTCTGGCATGTCAATCAAACCACTGTTCCCTGATCAAACTTAAGAACTGACCAATCAGAACAGGTCCAGGATTAGGTGCGTGTCCTACAAATGCACATGTTGTCCCACCAATGCATATCTTGGAAGCTGCCTGAATGTATAGACTGAACATCGAGATGCTAATAACAAGCACCAAAATAATTGTTGTTTCATAGCGGAAAATGGATATTAACCAGTTTAGTAAGGTAATCTTCACCCAATTAGAATAACAGACGAATCATAGAATAGTTTGTAGGATTGGTTGGAGTCGATGAGTAATACTCAAATAAAGTTATCATCAACTTGAATATATAGATATTAATAATTTGTATACATTCTTCAGTTTCTGTTTCTAGGTGGTTCTAACTACCGCCAGGTACTGTTCTTTTGGGTACAATGCAGCTGCAAGATGACCTAGAAGAACCTTAGTATCTCTTAACGTGTGTGATGGGTCCTGAAGGAACTTCCTTGCAAATACCGCTGTATCTCTTATAGAAGCATAAGCCTTACTATCCACTGTAGTATCTAGTGTCTTGAATGTTTGCAGAGCTAGAGCGCTAGGCCTAGCCCCTTTAGGGGATGTTGGCGAGGACAGCTTCATGCCAGGCAAGATTGCTCCTGGTGCATTGGGTTCAAGTCTTAGGCCTGTATCACCAGGGATTTGAGCTGCTAGGTAAGCTGCAAGGGCACGAGCTATCAGTCGAAATCTAAAAATCAATACAGAACAAAATAATTAAATATTTTAAACCTAAACATGTATAGTATATCTTTTTTTTGATATACAGGACAACTAACACAATCATTATACAATATTTTACCGATACTGTAAAATTTATTATATGCATGTTATCAAATTATATTTATTATTGTTGTTATATTATTTTTCAAATAAAATTAATTCTTTTTAATCCCTAGGCATAATCAAACCTGCAAAAAATATGTTTGTGCCTCCAACCATGACAATTATCTTGATCAAATGCTTCCAGGACCAAATGTGATCTTTACACTATTAGAATTATAGCCAAACAGTTTGTAGCCGACAAAAATTCTAGAATTTCCTCTGGTGGAATGCTTAATGCACCCAGAACACCAGCCCTCAAAAATTAACACACACACCCCCACACAGAGCAAGTGGCTGGCTGTACCTACATAAGAATCGTCTCAGAAGCTTAGTTTAGCTTTTTTTAATGTATCTCCAGTTACTTGTACAATATTGATAATTCATGTTAATAAATTTTTGTGTAACAAATTTCTTTTTTCTAAAAATGCCTCCAGGGGAATGATTCTCAGGGCCTCCGACCATCGGTTGCGTGGTCACACACTTTTTCCAGCCCTGAGCATATGGAATGGATTTGGTTTTAACCATGAGAACAGGTTTGAAATCCTGGAACTTGGCATTGGAATGAAATGTAAGCATATTAACCACTTGGATACAGCTAAGTAAACAAACATTTGTTATAATTATCATTATATTTTTCAGTTTACTATATATTTATTCATACTGTGCAAAAGCTAGGACATACCATATATTCTCACGTGTAAGACGATCCACTTACAAGAAGAACCCCAAGTTTGAGAAGATATTTGGATGATTTTTGTATGTCGAGCAAATAAGATAAGCCCTGTTTCACCTTCACAAATCACTTTTTGCTGCTTTTTATGGCCTTGTTATGACCTAAGTGGCTAAAAACGGAGCCAAAACATAGCACTAACCTTCCAAAATAATACCATTTTATGGGCTTTTAATTGCTCATCAAAAATTCATACTAAGTGTTAGTAGCTTGCAGCATATATTAGTACATTACATACTTTCACTGATAACACACTTACTTTATTGTCAATTCTGACCGCTTTCCAAGGCCGATTGCTCCAAGTATCCCGCCGGATTTTTTGTTCTCTCCTAAGACAGCTATAGCTGGAATGAAGTTGTTGAGGGTACGGACTATGATGTCATGTTTTGCTCCAAATTCCACTTGTCGTAGACACAGGTCGACTATCTTACCCCACCACAGCAAAAGTTTGGTTTCATTGTCTTGCCTTTAAGAACAAATTAATGTAACCAATATATTGTAAATCGCTACAGCCTTTATAAATCAGATTATTAACAATATAAAAACGTTTTATATGGATATCATAATTCAAGAGCATGACCCCAACCAACATTGCTGATTATTAGGGTGCCCTCAAACATATGAAAATACAATACAATTGTACAATTCAAGAAATTGAATAATAATAATAATAATAATAATAATAATAATAATAATAATAATAATAATAATAATAATAATAATAATAATAATAATATGCGCTAAGTGAGACTTAAGGGGAATATTTTTTTGTGTTATTTTTCTTTTAGTGTTGTTTTTTTTAATTGTTCTCTAGATTTCAGATTTCTTTATTAACTTCACCTGGCAGTAAAATACTGAATTGCGAGAAGTTCACAATATATACAGATAAAAATATTATTAAAAAGTACAGAAGAGAAAAAATTGAACAACACACAGTACCACAAAGTTTAAAAACACAGATAAAACACATTAAAAAAGCAGAAAAAAAGATAGCTAAAAAATAAAAATAAAAATAAAATAATTAATATAATCTCAGCAACAATTATAAATTGCCATATTAATTTTCATTATTCTTTCAAAAATTTAAAAATTTGGGTAAGAGGAGATTAAAACATGCAGTAAAAAAGTGGGAAAGTTTTTTCAAAAAAAAAAATTTTTCCAAAAAAAAAAAAAAAAAAAAAATACAAGTTAGCCTTGATCAAATCAATTCATCGTTGTTTGTTTAAAAGTTTTACCATAAAGGGAACAGTACTAGATCTGAACCTTTCAAAACTGGGCTTGATTTCGTTACACATTCGATGGTTACGTAGTGACATACGGTGAGTGGATTTGTTTGGCTTAAACCAGTGGCTGTACCTTACATCTTTGGAACATTTATTTGCGAACTTAAAACATAGATCATATCTACGGTTTTCAAGTGTAGTAAGATTGCAATTTATTAGTGATCTTTCATAGTCAAAATCATGATCAAATCTTTTAAAACCCAAGATAATTCTAATGGCTCTCTTTTGGATGGACTCAATTTTCTTGTTTTGCTCCTCATTAATTCCCGAATGCCATACACTACAGAAGCATATTCCGCACATGGCCGAACATAACTTGGATACACATCAATTAAATCATTCCTAGAGATATCAGCTTTCTTTAATTTGCTTAGCATGAACAGTCGTTTACTAGCTTTACTCATAATTCCATTTACATTTCTATCCCATTTGAGATCATCCTGGACCCAAACTCCTAATAGCTTTGTTTCAGATACTGATTCTAAAACATGATCGAACATTCTTAATGGGGGTATGTCAAAATTAGGTCTCTGAAAGTTAAAATTCAGAGATTTACATTTTCCTGGGTTAAGCTTCAGTTTGTTGACATCAGACCATTCAACTAAGTTTTGTATATGATTTTGCATTCGTGATTGGGAGAGTTTGTTTACAACTTCGCCTATGCTTAAAATCCTCCCTGGCACCACTCTGACCATTTTCTGATTTGTAAATGTTGCGCCGAATATGCAATAAATTAAATAAATAAACTGGTATTAATTCACAGCAAATGGAAAACGTTGCCCTTAATTAAAAATATTTCTTCACTGACCAGGAGTAATAATGTGAAACCAAACAGACCAACTTTCACAGTTTATATGCCGAAAACAAAAATTTAACTCTATTTAAACAAAATTTTTCCAAGTCACATGATCCCATCCAGACTGTGAGCCTCCTATAATTAGGATTAACCAATTGAAAAGGATCAGTCATCATTCCATTGTATTAATTCATTTTGTATTAACTTATTCCATATTTCTAAAAACCACAAATTCCTGTAAAAACCTGATGAACTTACTGTAATTTTTTAGTTTTTTTTGTTAGCTAGGATAAAGCAAAGACACTGCCACCATTTTTATTCTACTACCATTACCACCATCACTACCACCACCACCATCACCACCACCACCACCACCACCACCACTACCGTCACAATTAAAGAATTAACTCTAACCTTGGTCTGCAATCCATATTCCATTTGATGAGCAGAGTGAGTAGGGCTGTCTCTTCTTCCAGACTCTGACACTTGGATAAACTCTGTAGGATATATGCATACAGCGTCAAGTATGAGCTATGCTTCAGGCATTCCACAAGGAACTCATGTGGAGCTAGCTCCGGCACTTCCAACACTCCAAGTACTGGTGCCCAGCCATACTTGTTTCCTTCACTCAAATCAGCTGCTTAAAAAAAAAGAAGGCATTTAAATTACACAAATCAGCAGCAGTTGGTAGCTATGGGTAAGATCCACGGATAAACAGACTATTGCCGCATCCCTTTAAATGAACACCCCTATAAAGAAAATAGAGCTGTCCATCCCCCGGGTCCTCTGCTTATATAATATTACTAATTTGTTGTCCCATTTTTAAAATATCCTCATCCACTTACTTCATGTAAATATTCTGATTTACTAAACTTTGATAGGATGTACTGAAAAGTAGAGATTCATTAAAATTTTACTGTGGGCCTCATGCTCAATGTATACTTTAATGTAAATATATAATAAAAATAAAATAAAATTTCAAATTCTATTGATATAGAAATTAACTTTACCTGCTTTGAAATGAGTTCGTACGCAGACCTCGACAAGGATAGACATCCCACCGATAGATGCTAACGTCCGGCAAGTAGCGGTGATGAATGGTAGTACCACGCTACTGGAGGTTACTTCAACCCATTTTAGGATGCTCTCTTGAGCCACGGTCAACAGTCCACCAATAGGGTTGCAGTTGTTGAGTAAGCTAAGTACAGTGGTCACTAATGATATCAACTCCTGGTTTTGATCCATCGTCAGTCCACCTGTTAAAAAAGAAAAAAAAAAGTGGTTCCAGAAATTTGCCGATGGGTGGTCCAACAATGGTCCTGAAATAAAACACTTGGTGTGGTTCTTTGAGGAAGATTTTATGAATTTTGATGGCCTACAATTGTGCTTTTAGACCACAATATTATGGATTGGCAGTCACAATAACTTTGGTTGGATTGACTAAATAATATGTTTAGTCTGACATCCTGGTGATCATGGCATTGGATGACAGGGACCCATGTTTGTCTAACAATCAATTAATGATAGATGTTTCTGCTGCAAATTTAAGGTTTGTAATAATACTAAAAGTAGTTTCCATACAATCGCTACACTGTCACTACACCGTCGCTACAGTGTTTTCAGTGGTTAATGGTTAATGGTTATTAATTTATAGAGCGCAAAATACAAAAAGTCTCTAAGCGCTCTCTAAGCGCAGTGCAATCGTTGTACTGTGTAGCACTACCCGACGCAATCGAAAAGGCTCCCGGATTCCACCGACCAATCACCATCACCGAAAGCTGTCGAATGTATGGAAACCAAGCTTATTTAAGCAATGACTTAAGATAAATTTAAATGTATGATAATTTACTATATGATTGTCTACTACCTGTTGTTTCACATGAAAAAATGTACTGAATATTAACACATTGTACCAAGGATACTGTCCCTTGCAAAGATATGTTAGTTGTAAGAATGCATATTTTTTTAAGAATAACAATGTCACCATCCACCCCTCGTCAGACAGAAAATATAACAAGCTTTCCACCAAACACCCCGCTAGAAATGTTCAGATCATTGCTCTCAAGTAGTAAAAAATCATATAAAATCATCTTATTTTGCAAGCTAACCCTCCCTCAGTTAATCATTGAGTCCCCCGCACTTAATCTTCACCCCTCACACCCATCAACCAATCCATGTCAATACTCCTTGATATGCTACTGCAGGTGTGGCTGCTACCTGACTCAACAACTTTTACAAAGTTGCAGTCTCATCATATCTACTATAAAGTTTATTGGAATTATGCAAAGTATGTTTAAAATAATGGGAAAAAAAGATGTATTGCACTAACCTGCTGTGCCGACAATTTCAATATCATTGAGCAGATTGTGAATGATGGTTTCGAACATGTCTTGGTTCACGCCGTTCATGTGGGACACCTTACAAAGCAGACTGATGAGTAGATTTACGTAAGAATGGCGCTTCAACGGTCCCTCTGGCCAATCGGCTGACTCAGAATTAAAACCGGCAATGGCCCTCAGTAAACTTTATCAAAATTATAACAAGTTGGTTAGAAAAGTGAAGGAGAAACTTTTGTATTTACAGTATAAAGCTTAATATGATGCAGCACATAAATAAACCCTTATCATCTTTTATAAGAGATAGTCAATCTTAGAAATTGTTTATCTCCTAAAGTATGTAGAGCTTTTATTGATCTTAAGTTTCTTTATAATGCTGTACATTGTAATTTTTAATTTAAGCTTATCTCATGTTTCTTTATCAATGTGCCATCTTATAGATTAAGAAATAAACCTACATTTGATGTTCCTTTTGGGAGGGTAAATGGCAGTCAAAATTGGTTGTTTTGTAGGTTATTAGTCTAGATATATTTTCTTACTCTTTCAATCAGTTTAATCATGAAGTTTTAGGTTTACTTTAATTGTCTTTATACTATTTAGGCCTATTTTATGTTTGGTTTTGTATTTCCTGTTATGGCGAATTTTATTCGCTGATGGTTGTGGTTTTTTAATATAATAAAAATTAAAAAAAATAAAAGTGAGAAAAATATACTTTCCCAATGGGATTCGAACCCAAGACTTGGTAGCTGGCATGCTACCTTGCATAATATGCAACTAAACATATACAGTATGATAATTTCTTATGTGAAATTTGTAATGAATGGGGTAACATAAATTCCTCCACCATAATGTCTTACCTCAAACCATACTGAACACGAGAAGTCCTGCAATTGCAGCATAAAATAAATGAAAACAATGTTTCAGAATTGAAATGAATATAAATATGGTTACATAATTATATGGTTGAATGACCCCAGTAACTTACTCTGTAATATTGTTCTTGATTGATCCCCTAGCACATAGCACATCTCGTGGGTCAGAGTTTTCTATCTGCCATTGAGTGGCTGCTTCATAGGATTGGGCATCCAGCCAACGCCAGTCTAGCGACTGACATTTTACGATAAATGCTGGAATCTTGCTAAGCTGAAAAAAAAATGAAAAACAAAACCATTATCTTTAATTTGTTTAATATCTTTTGGTAGATTTTTAAATCAAATGTTATCTGAGACTGAGATACAGATTAACATTATTAACCAGAAGCATACTCACTTGTATAAAATAAACGAATACAATATAAATTTTATCTCGTATATATTCTGTTATAATTTCTTATTCCTGCTTTGTAGAATGAGTATCTGAATGAAGCATATGGAATATCACCATATATGGCAATAAAGTGAACATTCATTATAAAAGTTTGGTGATAAGATATCACAGACAATACATGAAATAATCTTAAAAAATTAATTAGATGCAGATTTATAATGTATAACAGGCATTCATTATAAAAGCTATAGAGTGTGATATAACATTACTAGCTGTCATTGTACAACTATGATTTAGAGGGCGCTATATAATGGATAACAAATATTCATCGTAAAAGCTAGCGTGATATATATAACAATATAACACAATTTTCATTGCCCTCTTCTTCTCTTCTGTTTAATTTAATGTTTGTGTGAGAGTGTGTGGTTGTAAGTGCACTGAAGTTTTGAATTGTCTGCTAAGTATAACTTAATTATTATTACTAGCTGTCATTGTACAAAAATAAAAAAGAGGGCACTTTATATCATACGTACGTGCCATAATTTGCTTCGCATTGTCCGCTATACAAGTACAACTTATTATTACTATTACTAGCTGTCATTGTACAAAAATGATAAAGAGGGCGCTTTATATCATACGTACGTGCCATAATTTATAAATACTATGTGAATACGTACTGGTTTTGTCATGATCTCAACATTAGAAGCAAGCATGATGAGGATAGACAGGAAGTTTGAGCAGAATCGGGTGACGGTAGATGGATGCTCCGTTTGGATGTAGTGCTGGAGAATTTTTTCCCAGTCCATCATTGGGAGGATATTGCTAAGGAACACAAAGCTTTCAGGAGGATTCGATTCATACATCTGTAAACAATATTAAAAAATTAGTAATATAATTTGTCAAAATGGCATTTCACTTAATAATTCCAATAAATGTTTTCATAAAAAATAAATCCAATTTTTAAACTTACATTTAACATCAGATCCATGCAATGGATATCAGGGTGGTACTGTTGCCATGGTAATTTCTCAAATCGTCGATTGTAAATTTGAAGAGCATCTACTGTGACCTCTTTCCTCGCTAAAGAGTTCGCATAATAGAACAGTAGAAGAGACATCGCATCCTTGCCGGAGGGCGGTAAATATCCTAGATATATTGTAAAATAGAGAAATCCAGTCACTACACTACAAAGCTGCACCATTAAACAATTTTTTATTAAATAATATTGTCATAAAATTAGTTGAATTGCAACAGTAGGATAGAAATAATAGGACATGGACAATTGTACTTTTAAAACCAGATTGATTTACTATACCTCATAAATATTCAATAGCATTTCACTATCAATTCCGCACAGTACTTTGCCTATGTATTATCCAGGACATGCATATTTATGCACATGCAGTAAAAATAACCGGTACAAGACAAACCCTAATCTATCACATGTCTATATACGTGAACTATATGAACACTGAGTATTTCTGAGGAACAGCCTTTTTTATTTACCTTACAGCACAAACTGGCTACAGTAGGTAAACAATTTGCTGTTTAATATTTATAAAGTATAGTAGCACAGATAGTGTTGGATGATTAGGAATGCACTATCTGATTTTTGTTGTAAATTAGTAGCAATCACCAAGCACCTAAACCCCAAGCTAAATATTTGAATAAAAACGCTTGTATCCATCAAACACATAGACACAATACATACACATAGACATAGACATCAATTTGGTACAGAATTTGGAAATTACATTTTTGCTTTTATGATCATTATAATCATCCTCAACATCATTATCAATGTTATCACTATCAAAAACATATTATCCATCAAACACATAGACACAATACATACACATTGACATAGACATCAATTTGATACAGAATTTGGAAATTACATTCTTGCTTTAATAATAATAATAATAATAATAATATTTATAAAGCGCACAAATCCACTACAGTAGTGCTCAAGGCGCTACAGGAAGGAACAACAAATTACCATGAACTTAAAGCTACAAGAAAAGAAACACCACACCATCACCGCACCGTTTATGATGCTTTTATGATCATTATAATCATCCTCATCATTAGCAATATTATCACTATCAATTCAATCCAATCAGTACATTTGTAAAGCGCCTTTTTTTTGCAGATACGAAGCGCTGCACTCCACATACTTAGGCACCTCACAACCCACAGGCAGTCGTGATCAATAAACATCACACCACCATCCACATCATCTACAATATTACCACTGTCAATACAAAATACCATTGTCATCTGTATCAATTTTATCATCATAGTCACCATCATTATCAATATCATTCTCATCATCCTCTTCATTTCCATCAAAACTGTAATCAATATCACCATCACTGCCCCTACGAAGTCATTCATATCTAGCGCCAAGTAAACATCTAGACTCGGTGAACAATATACAATAATAATAATAATAATAACAATAATAATAATAATAATAATAATAATAATAATACACATTTTTAAAGCGCCTATTACAGCAAACAAAAACTGGCTTGTCACCGGCGCTGGAAGATGTTAGAAAGAAGTTTTGAAGAGGAAGGATTTAAGACTGGATTTGAATAATTCCGGATCAGAGATGGCACTGATCATTTTGGGTGAAAAAACCTACCTTGGAACTGTATGGTTAGACTTCTAACAGCCTCTGCAAAGATGGCTACTAAGATAACACCTGAGGGCCAGTCTACTTCAACCCACGCTGGCAGAAAGATTGTTTTTGTGGCGCTAAAAAATCAAAACAATTTTTAAATAAACCATCCGTTATTATAGTAAAATAAATAGAAATAATATTAAATAGAAATTTCTAGTTCAAATGACAGGGCATCTGTAGAAGTATTGATAAGGGGCTGATGGAGTGGGGACAAAGGCTGTGGGGAGGGTTTGATGATTAAATGAGGGGAAGGGCGTTAGTAATGAGGTGATTTTTTACTACTTCGAGCAATACATTTTGCTCAGCAAATATCGACTCTGAGGGAGCGCCTGGGGGAACAAGGATTTTTTGAGGGGCGTTCACCCCAAGCCCTTTGTAAATATGGCACTGATCATTCTGGGGGATAACAAACATCAGTAAGTATGCTTACTCTGAGGGAGATGGGACTTGAACAGTGTCAATCCACGGTGCAAACAATCCACATATCACTAACCACTGTTGTTGTATCCCTAAACAAAAAAACAAAAATATATAATTCATCATTCTCCATAACTTATACTGCATAAATCAGCAGTGATGTTGGTAGTCTATGAGTTACTTACCTGGATAAATTGACTAAGTGTCATTCTTCCTTTAAAAACACTCTACAACAAAAACAGAACCATCTCACCTTCCAAGCACATTACTGCCTCGACAGCAAAACAAAGAACTGTGGCAAATGGTTGGTTCATCAAGGTAAGTATTGACAAATAGACTTATTCAATTACACTTTGGTAGATATGTCAAAGGGTTGCCAGCAGCAAATATCACTCTCTTGTGAGGTTGCCAATCATTATCACTGATACAACACATGATTTTTGTCATCCATAATTATCCCCAGTGGAAATGTTTCTTTATACCAAGTTCCTAACATTTAATATACTACCCACTCTTCCAAAAGATGCAATGGGCTCTTTAAGGTGCACACCAGCCAGATGTACGTACTGGACCTCAAGTTTTTCTAGTCCTCATGGAGAAGGCCTGGTTCTACCAACTGAACCCTCAGCCACTCGACTCGCTTGTATACGAGATCTAGCCCCTAAAGCAAAAAATACCAGACTAATGATGACATCTGATTGGTTGGTTATCCAGCTTAAAATATTCTTCTTGATTACATTTGAAAATTGAAGTCTATCTTACCTTGTTCAGGATTTTGTTGCGTTTCCAGTAACTTAGTTGATTCATGCACAATGTATGTTGTGATAAGGAACCTGAACAAATTTGCAATAGGCTGGATGTAGGGTTTCCATTTGGAGTACAGGCCAAACTTTGCCAGGTCTGGGGTTGTGTTCCGCATCTTGCTGAAATACGTGGTCAACCACTGAATTGTCTCATGAACCTGCAATGGAATTAATATATCATTAATATATATCAAGGAGTGAGCTATATATTCTTCTTGTATCCTTCGTTAAGACACATCACTTTAATAACCTTGTTCTTCAAATTGGACATTAAGACGTTTGTCCCATGTCCAGAATAGCCTGTGTGCACAAAACCAAAACTCAGTACTGGACAAATAGAGTCCACGGTAGATACTGCACTGCGGCCACCACAGGCTTCCTGGAGCCCAGTGGCATATCTAGCAGTTTTGAAATGGGGGATGGGGGCTGATGTGGGGTGATGGTGAAGTAAGTGGAATTGATGATTAAGTGAGGGTGTGCTACCTCGCAAAATAAGGCAATATAAGATGATGTTTGACTACTTAAGCATGATTTTTGTTTGGGGTGTTGTCTGAGGGTGAAAGATTTTTTTGGGGCCCCTAGATATGCCACTGCTGGGCCCTAAATTGAATTTCATATTAATTTTCAACAAGAATAATAATATTGTACAGTGACTATATTTTTATTGAACAATAATAAAACAAAAACAAAGACCAAGTAGCTACTTGACAATTGGTCAAACTGACACCTAATTGTGCATCAACTGACCTGGGCTAACGTAAGTGAAGATGCTGTCTGGCCTACCACCTGTGTAAAGTCTATGTTGCTCAGCGACTCATCCAAATGGCTGACAGGACATCCAATGATGTGTAGGAAGTCAAACCAGATATCAGGACTCAAACATCCTCCTGCGCTACCTGTTAAAAAAAAAAAGATGTAATTAGTGGAGTATCAAGGGGCCTTGAAATGATGTTGAGGCATAAAGAAGCTGTGAGAAAAGGGAAAAGCCGCATTCAGTCAACCTTGTTGTCGGCAAAGGCCAAGTCACTGATGCGCACTGGGTATCTATAACCTAGCATAGATATCTAGACCTACTGTAGGCTCACGTATGTTTCGCGTTTAAACCAGCTAAGGAAAAAGTTTTTGATAACGTTACTAAATGACGCTCGCTGATTAGTCGGTTTATCTGTCAATCCAATCTCGTTGAGATGTTAATTATGCCTTAGTGTGTGTAAGCTCTTGCATAATGACAAGGAAACTAGTGTCTTTGGTGTCTGCATGTTTCTGTAGTAACATGGGTATAAGGGGGTATATCCTAAGTAACCTCTTCTGAGTGTCATCATAGGTATTGTCAGGGTAATCACTGACCAATGGGTAATGCTTGATAGTGAATTATTTCACATTTCTGAAATCATCCTTTTCTCCCCGTGATTTCAAGCATAAAAATGACAATCGTGAGCAATATCAACTGCAGAATCCATGTCGTTCCAGCAGAGCGCAAAAACCTAAGATGATGTTCTCATATTAGTATTAAAGTTTATGTTTGTTTTGCTGTGTATCTGTTTTATTCTACCACTGAGAAAAAAAATTAAATGAAATGGCTTGTGTATGCTCATGGGTACTAATATGACCTCTGGCTAATAAGTAATATATTAGTATCTGTGTTTAATTTATAAGCAATGTAAACTAGAGTTTATTCTGAATATGGAGTAAAATATTTTAGAAGCAGTAAAAACCTTTGAGAAGAAGTTGTAAGACACTATTGAAATTATCAGGGAAGTGATGCGATAACAAGATCTGCAGATGTGTTCTGTACATCTCAAACTGGGTCAATAGTTGAGTCTCGGGTTTCTGTTTACACAGACAGAGCGCTTCACCGACAATATCCACCATCTGGTAACACTTGTCACGGTCTGGTGCACACCCATTTAACCAGAACTTGACATCAAACTAAAAGATGGACAGAAAAAAAATTATCATATTTTCTCAAGGACAGGAACAATATATACATAAACATATATATACTACCATGGGGGAAACGATAACAATGGAAAGGGTTAGAAATAATACCTTAAGGCAAAAATACTGCCGCTAAGGGGAAATTTTAACGACGTTAAGGAGAAATACAGACAAAGGATTTTTCACCCTATGAGTTAG